ATTTTCAACATTGATGAAGATTGCTCAACAGAATAGATATAGCATTTACTTAAAATCTCTATCAACCTTTAATCGATGCTGGTATACATCAATTTCCGCCTGCTGAACAATTCCTACCAGTCGTGTCCTTCAAGGGTTTTACTTAATCGTTATTTCACTCTGTCCGGTCATTTCCTGCTCAGCGCTAACATAAAAACAATGACTTGCCAGTGTCACCTTCAAGCAAAGACGCGCGTGCGTGACGATGTTATGAAACAAGAGCGGCATACAGCTTGATCATAATGTTAAATCATCGTTCTAATGTAAGTAATGACGGAACATAGCAAATGTACCGAAAGCTGGTGGTTCCTTTATTACTACAACATAGGATAAATGTATATTCCAGTGTTGATAACTCATTAGAGATGTCAAAATTGTGTTGGTGTGTCATTAAGCTATATGGCGGTGCCAGCTAGAGAGCACTTTACTTAATGTACTGTCGACAAGTGTTCGGAAGTGACGTCTACCCGTCTCCCGCGGGTAACAAGCACCGACTCGCTTACTGTGTTACAATGCGTGACCTGTATGCTGAAGAAAAAAAGGTCCAGTCTGTGAAAATCTTGGAATCCAGTTGAAGCATACGTAAACGACAGTTTTTAAGAGATGGTAATTCGGTATGATTTGATTCTGTGGGCATGTGCTCTCCCGATCGGACGTGATATTTTACAATTCAAAAAAACGCAACAAAATACCAACATGTGAACAAACTATGAATAAAAGACAGATTTACACGTAAACTCCAGAAAAAAACCCACGAAAATAAGAAGAGCAATCCCTTGAATATCTAATCAACTGTGTCCTGCAAACATCAAACGTTTGGGATGCGTGGTGTTTCTATTCAGAAATGGAAAATTCTCAATGGGGATATTGAATGGGGAAATCATCACGCTTATCATACAGTTTGATGGAAAGATGTCCATATAGATAAGCAGCTGATGTCAAACAGTCTGTCGTGTCGTTGATTCTGGTGGGTATGATGGACATGGTCGACGAATCTCTTGTTACTTAAAGATAAGACATCAGCAATATCTCTGTAACTGAAAATTAAAGACTTTGCAAGGACGTTGTGACTTTTGTGACCCATTTTGACAAGCTTTTCGATAAATTCAGCATCGTATGAAAAAAAAACAAGTCATCCAACAGAGGGTCACAGATAGTTATGAAAGGTGTTCAAGTAATCTGTTGGACGATCTTAACATCAAACTCGATGATGTCGTCCTCTATATACATTTCTTCTTTGATTTGAACCTATGTTTTACAAAATCGTTTCAGTATAATTCACAACCATGTATTTATACCACTGTTCACCATTCTTGGAGAAGAAAGCTGCTCTCCTATCAAGAGAAAGAAGGCGTTCTTTCAATTTAGAATAGGTATTCTTCGTATATGTCCTTAGAAATGTTGAGGATGCTGAAGGTTGGTGAAAAGCTCATTGAAGTTCTTTAAAACTCGTATACCATTAATTCCACACACAGTATCACATTTCGGCTGTAACCCCAATTTGATAGTACTTCGAATGACAAATTTGGACAAAGTTTTGGTTTGCCTGCTAGACAGGCCAGCAATAAAAAGCTGTCATATCGATTCATTGGAAGTGTGGGAATCCAACATAAACGTAGCATGTCCGAATCTTTATGATTAATAGGGAAGACTAATAATGTATAGGTGTGATTCCTTCGTTATCAAGCAAGCCTAGTACTTTTTGTATACGGGAAATGTGATAATGTTTACAGACAAGGATTAAGTTATTGGACACCTTATCTGCAGGCACATTAAAAAACCTATCACGTGAATCTGGATGTATGAATTTAATATCACGATCAAGAAATATTGACATGTTTTTGTTTTCATTTTAGATTTAAAGCTACTAATTATCGTAAGAATGATGGACCACATGAATGAACCTTTTCTTAAAGCGAATCCAACGCAGTTCGTTTTCGTTTTGCCCACTTCGTAACACCAATAGAGGAAGCGAATATAACGTAGTTCGAACATGATAGACAGGGTAAAGTTTCCATTAAAATTGAGAAGTAGTAAATAAATTCAGAACGCAAGGGGACAATACCAGCGAAATCAGGATCACAACTAGCAACTTATCATACAACAAAACAATGTTAAAAACAGCATAAGCTTTCTGGAAAAACATATTCTTTGGTTCGAGACATATTGATATATTTTGTCATGGAATTCTTCACTCCATGATATATAGTTACACACTGTATACAATATATTTGAAGGTCATCGGTGAACAGAATAGAGTCCAGTGTACACATTACATCTGTACAAGTGTTGAAAACAATATCCTCTTTCATATCTCTATAAAATAACAAAAAACAGAATATACGAGGGATGATTGATTTAAGCGGTTAACATTTGGCTGACATATTGCATTATTTTTCGACATAATCTCCTTCAGTATCTATAACTTTTGTCAGTGATGTTTGAGAATCTCAACGCCCCTTTTAAAGAAGTCCTTTTCTTGAACATTCAGAAAGTCCTCCACTGCATGTATGACGTCATCATCTGATCGAAAGTGGGAACTGGAAATGGTCTTTTTCAATTCTGGAAACAGATGAAAGTCTGATGGAGCGAGATCAGGCGAATAAGACGGATGTTCAATCAATTCCAAGCCTCCGTCGTTAATGGCAGCCATGGCAAAGCAGGTTTTTGAGCCGAGTCATGATCCTGGTGGAATGATACACCTTTACTGAGTTTTAGCTTGAGTTAAATATTTTCTCTTAACTGCCTTAGAAGTGATACATAATATGTGCCATTGATTGTTTGTCCCTTTTGTAGAATAGCTTCTAACTGAATTCCATCAGCATCCCAGCAACCTGAGGCCATAACCTCTCCAGCTGATGGAACAGTCTTTGTCTTCTTTTGTAGGGGTGAACCAGGGTGCTTACTTTGTTTAGACAGTGTTTAGGCCTCTGGGGTGAAATAATATATCCACGATTAATCTATAGTCACATAACTTTGCAGAAAGTTTAGTCTTAAAGAATCAGATAAACAAGCGACAAAGTCCGCCTGCTTCTAATCAACTGTCAGAAGTCATGGTACCCAACGGGCTAAGAACTTTCACATTGTAAGATCTTTCGTAGAATGGAATGTACTCTTTCCTGTGAAATCCCAACTCTGCTGGCTACATAAAACCCTGTAACACGCTTGTCAGTCATAACATGGACTTTATTGACCATTTCTGGGATTGCAACAATGACAGGCGTTCCAGGACGGGCGTCATCCCCAAGGCTCTGCCTGCCACACTTGAATTCCGCCACCCACATTTCCATTGTATGGAGGGCCATCTTTCCTAAGTGTCGCTACTTATCATTATGGATATCCTTAAGTGTTTTCTGATGCAAATATTGAATTACTGCTCTTTCAGTGATTTTGCAAATTTTGTAACTTAACTGATAAACTTCTTCATTACAAGGCTCACAACTTATCAATTAGCACTCGTAGATGGTGCATGTTGTATATGGATAATTTAAGGCGTTATCTTATAGTTTTATCAGACTGGAATCTTATGTGAAATATTTTGTTGGACAGATCCCTGCTTCACCATACTGGAGAGGTTAGTGAATTGTATTATCCATGCAGCCTGAGTGTCATCTTATACCAAAGAGCATAGAAGAATTCGGTTTTTGGTTGCTTAGTTTAACGCTATGACAACAGACATGGGCAGATTGAATGTTTATTTTTGCATTGAAACGAGGGAATCAGCTATTATCTAAAGAATAAAAACATCAGAGGAAAATTCAGAATTCTACAAATCTAGACCACTAAGAACAAGCTTATTTGTGATTAGGAATGACAATTTATTGGAATTCATAAAATCATGACACATCATGAATCAGGACAATCTTCAGGCCTATTTTGGTATATTGTGTTAGTTGGACTAGGAATTTTTCTAACATCCCTTATATTTCGATGGAAGAAATCGCTGTAGCAGCATGACGTAATTGTAAGATGGCGTCAGAATCCGTAAAATGCCAGGGCCTATTTTCATGCTTAGTTCTACTGGAAACGCTTGTACTACACTCATACTTCGACTGATTCAATAGTTCTGGCGACACGACAAACATGCAAGACGACATGTGTTGATGGGGAATCTGAATGATACGCCTCGGGGGTAGCAAGAACACCTACAAGTAGCTAACAGACAGTATTCCGGACGGGCAGGTATTATCCGAACGTTAAACCGTATTGGTGAAACCCATGTAATAGATCAATGTTGTACTTCGTTAAAGTCTGCAACTATACATTAGCATGTCCATTTGCTTATTGCCAATAAAATAGAATAATTTTGAACAAATTATTTTTTTTTCTAATTTCATTATAGACATCCCCACCAGCCGAGATATTACTTTACTATCTCTATTGAAATAACTAATTTAATACAGTGTGCAGTCTGTGGGTGGGTGTTAGACAAGAATTATCGGTTAACTAGGTTCGTCTGAACGTGTAAGCTGATTGATGGAACGTGTTGGTGAATATGTTGTGTCGCACGGTCGTAGATAGGTGGCGCATAACTCCCTACGGCTCGACATACGACACGTGCCTTAATCACAATAACGCCTAGTATATATAAAGCCATATACTACTGAGACACAGAACCATCAGGACTTCGAGTTTATAGAAGGAAAGTAAATTGAATTAGTCTGATATCATGTCATACACCAATATCATTGCTGCGGAACATTGTCAAGTATAGTTACATTGCATATATCCCCACAGCAGGCCACAATAATTCACTGGTCAATTTACCTTTACAGTGCCAAAAAAGGACTCGCATTGCACGCATTTTTCTTTTCTAATTCCTCTTCGCAATGCACGTGGGTGATCCTTTTTTCAAACTTTCAAAGTATAAACATATCCTTAACAATTCTCTGGTTCATGTTACATTCACTATCTATAAGATGAAGCGTAACTCCTAATTTAAAGTAAAAATGGCATCGACATTACATCAAATGAAACCTAGATGAAATTACTGGGTGGTGGGGGTGCTGGGTAGAAGGTGAAGGGTTGGGGTGGTGGGGGTGCTGGGTAGGAGGTGAAATGTTGGGGTGGTGGGGGTGGTGGGTAGGAGGTGAAGGGTTGGGATGGTGGTGGGGGTGCTGGGTAGAATGTGAAGGGTTGAGGTGGTAGGGGTGGTGGGTAGAAGGTGAAGGGTTGGGGTGGTGGTGTTGGTGCTGGATAGGAGGTGAAGGTTTGGGGTGGTGGTGTTGGTGCTGGATAGGAGGTGAAGGGTCAGGGTGGTGGTGTGGGTGCTGGATAGGAGGTGAAGGGTTGGGGTGGTGGGGGTGCTGGGTAGAAGGTAAAGGGTTTGGATGGTGGTGTGGGTGCTGGATAGGAGGTGAAGGATAGGGGTGGGGTGGGGGTGCTGGATAGGAGGTGAAGGGTTGGGATGGTGGGGGTGCTGGGTAGAAGGTGAAGGGGTGGGATGGTGGTGGGGGTGCTGGATAGGAGGTGAAAGGTTGGGGTGGTGGGGGTGCTGGGTAAAAGGTGAAGGGATGGGTTGGTGGGGGTGCTGGATAGGAGGTGAAGAGTTGGGGTGAGGAGGGGGTGCTTGATCGGAGGTGAAGATTTGTGATGGTTTTGGGGGCGGGTGCTTGATAGGAAGTGAAGGGTAGGTGTGGTTGGTAGGGTGCTGGGTAGGAGGTAAAGGGTTGGGGTGGTGGTGGGGGTGCAGGGTAGGAGGTGAAGGGTTTGGGTGGTGTTTGAGGTACTGGGTAGAAGGTGAAGGGTTGGGGTTGTGGTGTTGGTGCTGGGCAGAAGGGAAGGGTTGGGGTGGTGGTGTTGGTGCTGGTTAGGAGGTGAACGGTCAGGGTGGTGGTGTGGGTGCTGGATAGGAGTTGAAGGGTTGGGGTGGTGGTGGGGAAGCTGGGTAGAAGGTGAAGGGTAGGGGTGGGGTCGGGATGCTGGATAGGAGGTGAAGGGTTGGGATGGTGGAGGTGCTGGGTAGAAGGTGAAGGGTTGGGATGGTGGTGGGGGTGCTGGATAGGAGGTGAAGGGTTGGGGTGGTGGGGGTGCTGGATAGGAGGTGAAGGGTTGGGGTAGTGGTGTTGGTGCTGGTTAGAAGGTGAAGGGTAGGGGTGGGGTCGGGATGCTGGATAGGAGGTGAAGGGTTGGGATGGTGGAGGTGCTGGGTAGAAGGTGAAGGGTTGGAATGGTGGTGGGGGTGCTGGATAGGAGGTGAAGGGTTGGGGTTGTGGGGGTGCTGGATAGGAGGTGAAGGGTTGGGGTAGTGGTGTTGGTGCTAGGTAGAAGGTGAAGGGTTGGGGTGGTGGTGTTGGTGCTGGGTAGAAGGTGAAGGGTCAGGGTGGTGGTGTTGGTGCTGGATAGGAGGTGAAGGGTCAGGGTGGTGGTGTGGGTGCTGGATAGGAGGTGGAGGGTTGGGGTGGTGATGTGGGTGCTGGATAGGAGTTGAAGGGTTGGGCTGAGGGGGGTATGCTTGATCGGAAGTGAAGATTTGTATTAGTTTTGGTGGGGGTGCTTAATAGGAGGGGAATTGTAGGTGTGGTTTTGGGTGATGAGTAGGAGGTGAAGGGTTGGGGTAGTGGTGTTGGTGCTGGATAGGAGGTGAAGGGTTGGGATGGTGAGGTTGCTGGGTAGAAGGTGAAGAGTTGGGGTGGTAGTGGGGCAGCTGGGTAGAAGGTGAAGGGTTGGGGTGGTGGTGGGGGTGCTGGGTAGAAGGTGAAGGGTTGGGATGGGGTTGTGGGTGCTGGATAGGAGGTAAAGAGTTGGGGTGGTGGTGTGGGTGCTGGATAGGAGGTGAAGGGTTGGGGTGGTGGTGGGAGAGCTGGATAGAAGGTGAAGTGTAGGGGTGGGGTGGGGGTGCTGGATAGGAGGTGAAGGGTTGGGATGGTGGGGGTGCTGGGTAGAAGGTGAAGGGTTGGGATGGTGGTGGGGGTGCTGGATAGGAGGTGAAGGGTTGGGGTGGTGGGGTGCTGGGTAAAAGGTGAAGGGATGGGGTGGTGGGGGTGCTGGATAGGAGGTGAAGAGTTGGGGTGAGGAGGGGGGTGCTTGATCGGAGGTGAAGATTTGTGATGGTTTTGGGGGCGGGTGCTTGATAGGAAGTGAAGGGTAGGTGTGGTTGTTAGGGTGCTGGGTAGGAGGTAAATGGTTGGGGTGGTGGTGGGGGTGCAGGGTAGGAGGTGAAGGGTTTGGGTGGTGTTTGAGGTGCGGGGTAGAAGGTGAAGGGTTGGGGTGGTGGTGTTGGTGCTGGGTAGAAGGGAAGGGTTGGGGTGGTGGTGTTGGTGCTGGATAGGAGGTGAAGGGTCAGGGTGGTGGTGTGGGTGCTGGATAGGAGTTGAAGGGTTGGGGTGAGCGGGGTGTGCTTTATCGGAAGTAAAGATTTGTGGTGGTTTTTGGGGCGGGTGCTTGATAGGCAGTGAAGGGTAGGTGTGGTTGTTAGGGTGCTGGGTAAGAGGTGAAGGGTTGGGGTAGTGGTGTTGGTGCTTGATAGGAGGTGAAGGGTTGGGATGGTGGGGGTGCTGGGTAGAAGGTAAAGGGTTGGGATGGTGGTGGGTGTGCTGGATAGGAGGTGAAGGGTTGGGGTGGTGGGGGTGCTGGATAGGAAGTGAAGGGTTGGGGTGGTGGTGGGGGTGCAGGGTAGGAGGTGAAGGGTTGGGGTGGTGTTTGAGGTGCTGGGTAGAAGGTGAATGGTTGGTTTGGTGGTGGGGGTGCTGGGTAGAAGTTGAAGGGTTGGTTTGGTGGTGTGGATGCTGGATAAGCGATGAAGAGTTGGGGTGGTGGGGGGATAGGAGGTGAAGGGTTGGAGTGGTGTTGTTGGTGCTTGGTAGAAGGTGAAGGGTTGGGGTGGTGGTGTGGGTGCTGGGTAGAAGGTGAAGGGTTGGGGTGGTGGTGTTGGTGCTAGGTAGAAGGTGAAGGGTTGGGGTGGTGGTGTTGGTGCTGGGTAGAAGGTGAAGGGTTGGGGTGGTGGTGTTGGTGCTGGATAGGAGGTGAAGGGTCAGGGTGGTGGTGTGGGTGCTGGATAGGAGTTGAAGGGTTGGGGTGGTGGTGGGGAGCTGGGTAGAAGGTGAAGGGTAGGGGTGGGGTGGAGGTGCTGGATAGGAGGTGAAGGGTTGGGATGGTGGGGGTGCTGGGTAGAAGGTAAAGGGTTGGGATGGTGGTGGGGGTGCTGGATAGGAGGTGAAGGGTTGGGGTGGTGGGGGTGCTGGATAGGAAGTGAAGGGTTGGGGTGGTGGTGGGGGTGCAGGGTAGGAGGTGAAGGGTTGGGATGGTGTTTGAGGTGCTGGGTAGAAGGTGAAGGGTTGGGGTGGTGGTGGGGGTGCAGGGTAGGAGGTGAAGGTTGGGGTGGTGGTGGGGGTGCTGGGTAGAAGGTGAAGGGTTTGGATGGGGGTGTGGGTGCTGGGTAGGAGGTGAAGGGTTGAAGTGCTGTTGTTGGTGCTGGGTAGAAGGTTAAGGGTTGGGGTGGTCGGAGTGCTGGATAGGAGGTGAAGGGTTGGGATAGTGGTGTTGGTTCTGGATAGGAGGTGAAGGGTTGGGGTGGTGGGGGTGCTGGATAGGAGGTAAAGGGTTGGGGTGATGGTGTGGGTGCTGGATAGGAGTTGAAGGGTTGGGGTGGTGGTGGGGGAGCTGGATAGAAGGTGAAGTGTAGGGGTGGGGTGGGGGTGCTGGATAGGAGGTGAAGGGTTGGGATGGTGGGGGTGCTGGGTAGAAGGTGAAGGGTTGGGATAGTGGTGGGGGTGCTGGATAGGAGGTGAAGGGTTGGGGTGGTGGGGGTGCTGGGTAAAAGGTGAAGGGATGGGGTGGTGGGGGTGCTGGATAGGAGGTGAAGAGTTGGGGTGAGGAGGGGGTGCTTGATCGGAGGTGAAGATTTGTGGTGGTTTTGGGGACGGGTGCTTGATAGGAAGTGAAGGGTAGGTGTGGTTGTTAGGGTGCTGGGTAGGAGGTAAAGGGTTGGGGTGGTGATGGGGGTGCAGGATAGGAGGTGAAGGGTTGGGATAGTGGTGTTGGTGCTGGATAGGAGGTGAAGGGTTGGGGTGGTGGGGGTGCTGGATAGGAGGTAAAGGGTTGGGATGATGGTGTGGGTGCTGGATAGGAGGTGAAGGGTTGGGGTGGTGGGGGGGGGGGGGGGAGCTGGATAGAAGGTGAAGTGTAGGGGTGGGGTGGGGGTGCTGGATAGGAGGTGAAGGGTTGGGGTGGTGGGGGTGCTGGGTAGAAGGTGAAGGGTTGGGGTGGTGGTGGGGGTGCTGGATAGGAGGTGAAGGGATGGGGTGGTGGGGGTGCTGGATAGGAGGTGAAGAGTTGGGGTGAGGAGGGGGGTGCTTGATCGGAGGTGAAGATTTGTGATGGTTTTGGGGGCGGGTGCTTGATAGGAAGTGAAGGGTAGGTGTGGTTGTTAGGGTGCTGGGTAGGAGGTAAATGGTTGGGGTGGTGGTGGGGGTGCAGGGTAGGAGGTGAAGGGTTTGGGTGGTGTTTGAGGTGCGGGGTAGAAGGTGAAGGGTTGGGGTGGTGGTGTTGGTGCTGGGTAGAAGGGAAGGGTTTGGGTGGTGGTGTTGGTGCTGGATAGGAGGTGAAGGGTCAGGGTGGTGGTGTGGGTGCTGGATAGGAGTTGAAGGGTTGGGGTGAGCGGGGTGTGCTTGATCGGAAGTAAAGATTTGTGGTGGTTTTGGGGGCGGGTGCTTGATAGGAAGTGAAGGGTAGGTGTGGTTGTTGGGGTGCTGGGTAAGAGGTGAAGGGTTGGGGTAGTGGTGTTGATGCTTGATAGGAGGTGAAGGGTTGGGGTGGTGGTGGGGGTGCAGGGTAGGAGGTGAAGGGTTTGGGTGGTGTTTGAGGTGCTGGGTAGAAGGTGAAGGGTTGGTTTGGGTGGTGTGGATGCTGGATAAGAGATGAAGAGTTGGGGTGGTGGGGGGGATAGGAGGTGAAGGGTTGGAGTGGTGTTGTTGGTGCTTGGTAGAAGGTGAAGGGTGGGGGTGGTGGTGTGGGTGCTGGGTAGAAGGTGAAGGGTTGGCGTGGTGGTGTGGGTGCTGGGTAGAAGGTGAAGGGTTGGGGTGGTGGTGTTGGTGCTAGGTAGAAGGTGAAGGGTTGGGGTGGTGGTGTTGGTGCTGGGTAGAAGGTGAAGGGTCAGGGTGGTGGTGTTTGTGCTGGATAGGAGGTGAAGGGTTGGGGTGGTGGTGGGGGTGCTGGGTAGAAGGTGAAGTGTTGGGGTGGTGGGGCTGCTGGATAGGAGGTGAAGGGTTGGGGTGGTGGTGGGGGTGCTGGGTAGAAGGTGAAGGGTTGGGGTGGTGCTGTTGGTGCAGGAGGTCAGATTGGGTTGTCTGTTGTTGCCAATATTTGGTTTATTGTTACTTTCCGTCCTATTAACAGCCAGAATTATTTAAGGCCGTGCCAGGTTTGGATGGTGGAGGTGAATTCCTCATAGATCTCGAACCCGCGACCCAGACGTGGAGGGCAAGAAATAAAGACGACCAGACGCCTAAACCCTCTGCTACTTTGTCATTTTATTGTTCTTTATCATTGTTCCTGGATCTAAACTCAATATATTCTCATTCAAACGTCTTCTTTTTTCGTTAGATAATGTTTTCATGACTTCCGTGCATTAAATAACCATTTTGCCTACATATTTTGGTTTAACAGCGATATTTTAAATCGTCTCTATAAAAATCCTTACAGTATGGCAGTTGTGATATAATTCGGTATTTTTTTTGTTTTCTTACAACTGCCAACAGCCCCGTGACTAGGACAGGCTTTCACAAACTTAAGACAAAAGATATGCAAGGGAAAATTTCCAATTCTACAACGGTTGGACGTCTCATGTAGACTTTACAACGGTTGGACGTCTCAAGTAGACTGTAGAACGGTTGGACGTCTCGTGTAGACTGTACAACGGTTGGACGTCTCGTGTAGACTGTACAACGGTTGGACGTCTCGTGTAGACTGTACAATGGCTGGACGTCTCTTGTGACTGTACAACTGTTGGACGTCTTGTAGTATGTACCAGTGCCATTCGTGTCTCGTGTCGTTTTTACCAGACTAGGTCTTCTCGTGTCGTTTTTACCAGACTAGGTCGTCTCGTGTCGTTTTTACCAGACTAGGTCGTCTCGTTTAGTTTGTACCTTTGTTGGTCGTGTCGTGTGTTTGGTGAGATCGATTTATAAAAATCATTTCGGCTTTATCTAACCACGTAATTAACATCCAGTCATCTCACTGGTCAATAGTCCTGGAACTGACGCCAAATTTTGCCTGGTTTTCACTGGTGTCTGTATCCTGATTTACTAAAAATACACGACAGTTAACTGTACACGGTTTTTGTCATAACCTTTTTGCACCCTCCACAGATATGGTGCCCGACCATTATTTCACAGTGTCGTTAGTAACCGATAATTATTTCCAAGATATCATTTATGGACTTTGTACTATAAAGTCTTTTTTTGTAAACTTACCAGTTATGTGTACAACAAGCAGTGCATCTTTACCTTCATCTTTAATAGTTTCATACCTCGTTAAGACAGCAGAACAAATTAGTCATTATCTGTGAGTTGTTTTTTTCCGTCTAGGTGTAACAGAAGACGAAACTTATAGAGCTCTTTGAACTTGTTCTCCTTTCAAAAGGAACGGATCCTTCCTACATCGACTTTGTTTATTGATTTTCAATACATGTATATTTATTAGAAAAGCGTCCCCTGAAAGGAAAATCGCCCGGTATTGTTTTGTCTACTGTCATCTTAACATTGTCATCCAGCCACTGTATCATCGTACTCCAACACATATGCATGTACAGGGCACAAAATTACGAACAAAATGAAAACAAAGTCGAGAGTCGTCTGATTATGCACATGACCGAAATACCAATACAGTAAGTGAATACATTAAAGAGAAGCTATAAAACCCTTTATCATACTTATTGCCATACAAATGCACAGTGACGACTCCAATTTTCGCAACACGGCACATTCACATGTTCATAAATCTTCAGTGATTGCAGACATCTGTCAAGCTTGACTGCCGACCGCTGGGGGATCGATGTGTAAGGCGATCCTGGATTGGACAGGAGAAGTAATTGTGAATGATTCTGTGGTTTACAGTTTCTAAATGGCAAATCATTTGTTGGTAGAAACAACGACCTGAAATACACATGTATTGTAAAATAAAACCTGACCAATATAACCAGTTCGATTTTACAATTTTCTCGTATTACTAACGGAAGTCGACATCGAGAATGAAGGTCACATGGGGGCTAGGTAATGTCTATAACAAATACAATGTCATTCGGAACAACTCACTTATTGCTGTTCAGTTATCGTGAAAAAATAGGGTAAGATAGTTATCTTTGTGTTTATAAACAACCGGAAGTAAAACTCGTTGTTCCGAGGTGATCACAGGGCGGCGTCTACCAAATGATATTTTATTCACTATTAGGAACCAACATATCTGAGAACAACGAAAGTTCTTATAAGTATACACAGTCTCCTTCATTAGAAACAAGGCCAGTGTAAAGCATACGTGTACGAGAAGAACATTTCCGGCTGTACATTAATTCAACATGTTTCCATCATGCAATGGATGCGATTTTGTTCATGCTTCTTGTCGTGTTCGCGTTTTATTTATTAAGCACGCTGAATCTCTGGTTTTGTATTTAGCCTTATAAAGACAGAAATGTTTTATACAACTACAAGTTATTTTTAATTTGAGTCAGATTTTATGATTTTATATTGATAGAGATCCTGGTCTCTGTGATACCAGGGAGAAGAACTTTGTACATCCTATAGTTTCTTTAGATATGTCGTCTTCAGTTGACATGTAGGTTGAACGAAGGAAAATCCTTACCAAATATGGCAAATATAGCCACATCCACTGCAGGTTGAATGAACTGGTATGAACCCATGAACAATTAATTCGGAGGCCCAGCAATAAGAGCTAGATAAAGAAAACCAGGTGTTCCGGAAGGGTAAGTGTCTTCTGTTTGATTGACGACACCTTTCATGTAAATCTAAGCAAAGGCTTGTCACATGAGAATTACCAGCCATAAGAACGAGCATTCAAATGATATCGTGGCGACAGGCATAAATCTCGAAACCTTTTGACATGAAATCGGGATATCGTGGACAGACCATTGAATATCGAATCATTTTCGATATGTAAACATCGATAGCTAAGAAAGCAGGAATATTGCTTTCAATAATGGAAAATTCAACACACTAACAGTCCTAACAAAATCAGATTTACTTAATATATCGCACGATTTCTGAAAAAAAATGTTACGTTTTATCAACAGTACTGAAAAAGTCAAGACGCAGATCTTCTCGAACCCTCCGCCTTAGTGCACTCTAGTTTATGGCGAGAGTTGAAATTCTGCACTAAAACGCTGGTTGAAGAAATTTGATATCCTTATCCTTCTACACGTGCTGAAGATATGAGATTGTAAGAATAGAGTCTGGCCAGAACAATCACCGGCGGCCATCAGTTCCATGAAGGAGGACCGAGACAGGCTAGAAACCATATCTATTACTATGAATAGGCCAAGTTAGAGACGGATCGATTGTTACTAACTAAACACGACCATATCAAAATTTATATTTGGTGATCATCATGATAGCGGTGGTACAAGTGTCCACCCTTTGCCTCATGGGAGATCATAACTGGTGCGTGAGTGACAAAGTTTAGTCTGGAGCGGAAGTGGTTTCAATTAGGGTTCCCCCTGGTATCGCCATAACTGGTCACGTGGTGACCGATTTTCTAGATGTCGGATCTGCGTTTCATCGAGTGACTTGAACAAAGGGCATTGTCCCGTAAATCAGAATGAAGTAGGTCATGGGAGACTTCACGATGGACTGCTATTTTTGCACAAAACTATGAACAAGTTTATACACTAGTAAAATACTCAAAACTGCTGATAACAATAAAACTTCTACCTGTCTTTGTGTAACATTGATGATGTCATTTGTCAGTTGATCGTCTGTTGCATGCGATAAATGATTTTTTTCTGATCATGTAATATTTGTTTGAAGATGAAGCCCCTAAACAACACTGAGACTGAAACAAGAAAACTTTCGGCAAATGAAAAACAAGAAATTCCTTATTTAGATAGTGTTCGGTAGACATAATTTTGTGGTTTATCAGTTCCATCCTTACTCACAATTAATATCACGTTCTTACTTTGCGAAACCGTCACTTTCTGTACGTCACAGCAGCTTTTCCTCAGTTGTGACATGTTTGAGGTAATCTAATTGTGTTTCATCTACCAGATCGACCCATTTGTCTTGTTTTTGTGTTATATTTTGCTAAGATATTCCGAATTACCTGACTTTCTGATGCCGTATGTTTTGCTTTCTTTAAGACAGACAGTAGAGATAAAACAAATGTCAAAAACGATACTAACAAGTAACAGAAGTTTGGTTTAAAGCTCAAACAATCTACTTGCACGAGAACAAAATATGAACAAAATATTACACCGATAACCTTGTAAAAAGTTAATAACGAGCATTTAACACACCTAACACGAGAACAACAAGGTATAATAACGACATTTAACACACCTACACGAGAACAACAAGGTAAATAACTTGTAACAGAACAACAAGGCAATTAACGAGCATTTAACATACCTAACACGACAACAACACGGTATAATAACGGACATTTAACACACCTAACACGAGAACAACAAGGTATAATAACGAACATTTAACACACCTAACACGAGAACAACAAGGTAAATAACGAACATTTAACACACCTAACACGACAACAACAAGGCAAATAACGGACATTTAACACACCTAACACGAGAACAACAAGGTATAATAACGGACATTTAACACACCTAACACGAGAACAACAAGGTATAATAACGGACATTTAACACACCTAACACGAGAACAACAAGGTATAATAACGGACATTTAACACACCTAACACGAGAACAACAAGGTATAATAACGGACATTTAACACACCTAACACGAGAACAACACGGTATAATAACGGACATTTAACACACCTAACACGAGAACAACACGGTATAATAACGAACATTTAACACACCTAACACGAGAACAACAAGGTATAATAACGAACATTTAACACACCTAACACGAGATCAACAAGGTATAATAACGAGCATTTAACACACCTAACACGAGAACAACAAGGTAAATGACGAATATTTAACACACCTAACACGAGAACAACAAGGCAAATAATGGACATTTAACACACCTAACACGAGAACAACAAGGTATCATAACGGACATTTAACACACCTAACACGAGAACAACAAGGTATAATAACGGACATTTAACACACCTAACACGAGAACAAAAAGGTATAATAACGAACATTTAACACACCTAACACACCTAACACGAGAACAACAACATTTAACACATAACGAATAATAACGAGCATTTAACACACCTAACACGACAACAACAAGGTAAATAACGAGCATTTAACACACCTAACACGAGATCAACAAGGAATAATAACGAGCATTTAACACACCTAACACGACAACAACAAGGTAAATAACGAGCATTTAACACACCTAACATGAGAAGAACAATGTAAATATCGAGCATTTAACACACCTAACACGAGAACAATAAGGTTAATAACGAGCATTTAACACACCTAACACGAGAACAACAAGGTATAATAAGAGACAATTTACACACCTAACACGAGAACAACAGGGTATAATAACGAGCATTTAACACACCTAACACGACAACAACAATGTAAATATCGAGCATTTAACACACCTAACAAGAGAAGAACAAGGTAAATAACGAGCATTTAACACACCTAACACGAGAACAACAAGGCAATTAACGAGCATTTAACACACCTAACACGAGAACAACAAGGCAATTAACGAGCATTTAACACACCTAACACGAGAACAACAAGGAATAATAACGAGCATTTAACACACCTAACACGAGAACAACAAGGTATAATAACGAGCATTTAACACACACACCTAACACGAGAACAACAAGGTATAATAACGAGCATTTAACACACCTAACACGAGAACAACAAGGCATATTAAGAGAGCAATTTAACACACCTAACACGAGAACAACACAATAACGGCATTTAACACACCTAACACGAGAACAACAAGGTATAATAACGAGCATTTAACACACCTAACACGAGAACAACAAGGTATAATAACGAGCATTTAACACACCTAACACGAGAACAACAAGGTATAATAACGAGCATTTAACACACCTAACACGAGAACAACAAGGTATAATAACGAGCATTTAACAAACGTAACACCGTAACACACCTAACACGAGAACAACAAGGTATAATAACGAACATTTAACACACCTAACACGAGAACAACAAGGTATAATAACGGACATTTAACACACCTAACACGAGAACAACAGGGTATAATAACGAGCATTTAACACACCTAACACGACAACAACACGGTATAATAACGAGCATTTAACACACCTAACACGAGAACAACAAGGTAAATAACGAGCATTTAACACACCTAACAAGGTATAATAACGACATTTAACACACGAACAACAAGGTATAATAACGAGCATTTAACACACCTAACACGAGAACAACAAGGTACACATAACGAACAACATTTAACACACCTAACACGAGAACAACAAGGAAATTAACGAGCATTTAACACACCTAACACGAGAACAACAAGGCAATTAACGAGCATTTAACACACCTAACACGAGATCAACCAGGTAGATAACGAGCATTTAACACACCTAACACGAGAACAACAAGGCAAATAACGGACATTTAACACACCTAACACGAGAACAACAAGGCAATTAACGAGCATTTAACACACCTAACACGAGATCAACAAGGTATATAACGAGCATTTAACACACCTAACACGAGAACAACAAGGTAAATAACGACCATTTAACACACCTAACACGAGAACAACAAGGTATAATAACGATCATTTAACACACCTAACACGAAAACAACAAGGTATAATAACGGACATTTAACACACCTAACACGAGAACAACAAGGTATAATAACGAACATTTAACACACCTAATACGAGATCAACAAGGTAAATAACGAGCATTTAACACACCTAACACGAGAACAACAAGGTAAATAACGAGCATTTAACACACCTAACACGAGAACAACAAGGTATAATAACGAGCATTTAACACACCTAACACGAGAACAACAAGGTAAATAACGAGCATTTAACACACCTAACACGACAACAACAAGGTATAATAACGAGCATTTAACACACCTAACACGAGAACAACAAGGTAAATAACGAGCATTTAACACACCTAACACGAGAACAACAAGGTAAATAACGAGCATTTAACACACCTAACACGAGAACAACAAGGTAAATAACGAGCATTTAACACACCTAACACGACAACAACAAGGTAAAATAACGAGCATTTAACACACCTAACACGAGAACAACAAGGTAAATAACGAGCATTTAACACACCTAACACGAGAACAACAAGGTAAATAACGAGCATTTAACACACCTAACAAGAGAACAACAAGGTAAATAACGAACATTTAACACACCTAACACGACAACAACAAGGTATAATAACGAGCATTTAACACACCTAACACGAGAACAACAAGGTATAATAACGAGCATTTAACACACCTAACACGAGAACAACAAGGTATAATAACGGACATTTAACACACCTAACACGAGAACAACAAGGTATAATAACGAACATTTAACACACCTAACACGAGAACAACAAGGTATAATAACGAGCATTTAACACACCTAACACGAGAACAACAAGGTATAATAACGAGCATTTAACACACCTAACACGAGAACAACAAGGTATAATAACGAACATTTAACACACCTAACACGAGAACAACAAGGCAATTAACGAGCATTTAACACACCTAACACGAGAACAACAAGGTATAATAACGAGCATTTAACACACCTAACACGACAACAACAAGGTATAATAACGAGCATTTAACACACCTAACACGACAACAACAAGGTATAATAACGAACATTTAACACACCTAACACGACAACAACAAGGTATAATAACGGACATTTAACACACCTAACACGAGAACAACAAGGTATAATATAATAACGAACATTTAACACACCTAACACGACAACAACAAGGTATAATAACGAGCATTTAACACACCTAACACGAGAACAACAAGGTATAATAACGAGCATTTAACACACCTAACACGAGAACAACAAGGTATAATAACGAACATTTAACACACCTAACACGACAACAACAAGGTATAATAACGAGCATTTAACACACCTAACACGACAACAACAAGGTATAATAACGAGCATTTAACACACCTAACACGAGAACAACAAGGTATAATAACGAGCATTTAACACACCTAACACGACAACAACAAGGTATAATAACGAGCATTTAACACACCTAACACGAGAACAACAAGGTATAATAACGGACATTTAATACACCTAACACGAGAACAACAAGGTATAATAACGAGCATTTAACACACCTAACACGAGAACAACAAGGTATAATAACGAGCATTTAACACACCTAACACGAGAACAACAAGGTAAATAACGAGCATTTAACACACCTAACACGAGAACAACAAGGCAAATAACGGACATTTAACACACCTAACACGAGAACAAAAAGGTATAATAACGAACATTTAACACACCTAACACGAGAACAACAAGGCAAATAACGGACATTTAACACACCTAACACGAGAACAACAAGGTAAATAACGAGCATTTAACACACCTAACACGAGAACAACAAGGTAAATAACGAGCATTTAACACACCTAACACGAGAACAACAAGGTATAATAACGAGCATTTAACACACCTAACACGAGAACAACAAGGTAAATAACGAGCATTTAACACACCTAACACGAGAACAACAAGGTAAATAACGAGCATTTAACACACCTAACACGAGAACAACAAGGTATAATAACGAGCATTTAACACACCTAACACGAGAACAACAAGGTAAATAACGAGCATTTAACACACCTAACACGACAACAACAAGGTATAATAACGAGCATTTAACACACCTAACACGAGAACAACAAGGTAAATAACGAGCATTTAACACACCTAACACGAGAACAACAAGGTATAATAACGAGCATTTAACA